TTTTTTTTTCCTAAACAAAGTTTTTATACTGAGCAGATGCTCTGTCATGATTGTGATTGTGCAATTCTGGTATCCTGTAAGCTTGTAAGCATTCATAAAACAGGAAAAAGTAAACTATCAGTCAGAAGCACAGCCCATTCCTCCCATTTTTCGCAATAACGTGTGGATGTTATTTTAAACAGTGTGTCTGTGTGTTCCCAAATCCAGCTGGTCCACTGGCTCCGATTCCGTATTTGAACGTCAGCTGGTTGAGAGAAGGGGGATGGGAAGAGCTGGAGGAGTTTAAATAACTTTGTTTCATTGTTCAGATTCCTGAACAGGAGGTGGAATAAGGCCCATCTCCTTTCCCGTCCTTTCTTCCCTCCTCGCTGTGAAAAATAACAGTCCACCCCTAAGTCATACACTGGACCCAGGGCCTGCGGGGACAGGACTGTGGGTTTTTTGGTCACACCTGTGTTGGTGCTCAATGCAGTGTAGACATGTTTTCAAATAAAACACACAATTGTGTACAACAATGAGTCAGACCTTTGTTGAAGTCTGGGCCACACTTAGGAACATCTCCAGATAAGATTACAACTTAGGTAAAGAATTCCACAGGGAGAAAATGCACCTACACCTTTCAGGTAGGTCTGCCAAAGTAGAGAGGTCAAGCGGAAGCGTGGGCTGGGGAAGACACGTGGCACATGGGGGCTTTCACCCACTCTGGTCCCGAAGTGTTAATGAGGTTTTGTTTGATTAATTTCTCAGCCCTGGAGAGGAAAACCAGTTGTGGGAGCAGTTTCAGCTTGCTCCTGCCAGTCCTCCCTAGAAATCTCACCTCAGGAGAAGTGAATTTCTGTTGCTGGGATGCCCCACAGCTCCCTGCTCACCCTGACCCTGTCTGGAGATTGCCTTGGCCGCTGCTGGGTGGGTGCTGCTGATCTGCTTCTCCTGACCCCACCTCACTGCTCCATGCGTATTTGATCCCCCTGATGCGGGTCCTGTCCCTGCCAACTCTATCCCTACTTGGAAGGGTTGGGTGCTAGGAGCAAGAGAGCAGTTAGCCCCATGACTTCCTCAAAATACATACTCACTTTTGTTAAATCAGGATTGTTGGAATTTGGACTGGATGCAGTGGCTCACCCCTGTAATCCCAGCACTTTGGGAGGCCGAGGCAGGCAGATCACCTGAGGTCGGGAGTTCAAGACCAGCCTGACCAGCATGATCCTGTGTTTACTAAAAATACAAAATTAGCCAGACATAATGGCGCGTGACTGTAATCCCTGCTACTCGGGAGGCTGAGACAGGAGAATCGCTTGAACCCTGGAGGCCGAGGTTGCGGTGAGTCAAGATTGTGCCATTGCACTCCAGCCTGGGCAACAAGAGCGAAACTGTCTCAAAAAAAAAAAAGGATTGTTGAATTTGCCCGTTGTCAGGAATCCTGGGTGCTCATTTGAGTTCCAAGCAAGGAACAACATTTTATGCCTGTAGTCCCAGCTATTCAGGAGGCTGAGGTGGGAGGATCCTTTGAGCCCAGGAGTTCAAGACCACCCTGGGCAACAAAGGGTTCCAGGCCCATTCTGCTACTCCACACCTGTAAGCCTTCAGGCAAGTCATTTAACTTCTTCGGGCTGCAGTTTCTTCCAAGAAGTTCCATGAGACTGTCAGAAAGCATCCCTTTTCTGGCAGAAAACTGCGTCTACCTAGTCCAACAGATTGAAAGAGAACGGACCCTCAACTATGTTACGTGTAAATTTACATTCCATTACAGGCCACCCCCAGGAGATGACTAGCAACTGGTGGAGCTGCCAAGGTCCTGGAAGTTTAGGGAAACAACTCTATCAAAGATGTCTGGGAACGGGCGGGGCTGAAGTTAGACCTTTGCATGATATAAAGGCCTTGTGTTTAACCCCTATTTTTCCCCTCTCACCCTGGAGAACCAGTTGTAACCAGAGCTTAGTTCTGCTTCATGTGCCACCTTCAAGGCTCGGCTTTCGTGAACAGCAAAGAGCAAAGAACTGTTAATCCTTAGTTGTCTCTATTTTAATTCAGATTTATTTAGTATTCAGGTATGGGGCAGTTTGTGACATGCTTCGATTAGGGAATGATGCATATTCTGATATTAAAACTTGCTGGGAGGGCGCGGTGGCTCACATCTATAATACCAGCACTTTGGAAGGCCAAGACAGGCAGATCATGAGGTCAGGAGTTCAAAACCAGCCTGGCCAGCATGGTAAAATCCTGTCTCTACTAAAAATACAAAAAATTAGCCAGTCATGGTGGTACATGCTTGTAGTTCCAGCTACTCTGGAGGCTGAGGCAGGAGAATTGCTTGAATCCAGCAGGTGGAGGTTGCAGTGAGCTGAGATCGTGCCACTGCACTCCAGCCTGGGCAACAGAGCGAGACTCCATCTTAGGGAGAAAAAAAAAAAATTCTGCTAGTTAAAATAAAAGTCCATTGAAAGTGGAGGAAAAATTTTCCCAAAATATAGCTGCATGTTAACACATACACTAAAAATAGAGTCGTCTCTTGCCTTTTCTGAAGCTTACAATCAGGTTAGAACATATACTAGATCCTGGGTTTTTCGATTCAGTTAATATAAATGATGTAAGTGTGATTATTGGTCAACAATGCAGAATGAATCCAAAATCACACCCATTGGTGTGAAAGGGGGTTTTTTGGCCTAAGGGCCAAGCATACAGATACCTGGTACAGGCAGAGCCAGCTCGAAAGCACAGAACATGATTCCTCAGCACTTTTTCTTACTCAGATTATTTTATCAGCTGCTGACTCAAAGTGCCGTGTGTTCTATTTCTGCATCTAAGGGCTTGGGGCCATAGAACAGACAGTCCTATGCGTGGTTCTGAGACCTTGTTCCTTCCAGTTTTTTTTCCTACCTCCTTCTCTACTGCTGCCTCTGCCTTTCCACTGATACAAATCTTTGGGAAAATGATCACGTGCCAGTCACATACAGGGTGATCAGCAAATGTTTCTGAAGTGACGGCTTCCCTCTGGCTGCTGCCGAAGTAGCCAAAGAGGCTGTCTGAATATGTGCTTGAATAAAAGCACCTACAGTGCTCCACATGTAACCTCAGGAAGGTGTGCACATGTCCTGACCGAAGGAGGAGGTGGACCCTTTTTCTCCCGTTCCCACCCGTCCCCAGAGTACCTGTAGGTGAAAAGGCTGGATCTGTGGATGGCCCAGGGCACACTGGAAACCGGGTACATGGTATAGGCGCCTGGCCAGCCAGATCCAGAAACAGAAGACACTCCCTAGGTGTAACTGCTGAAGAACTCTCATGGGACAGGAGTAATCTGTTCATTTATTCATTCAAACATTTATGTTCAGGTCCGTCCTGGGTGCTGGAAGTCCATAGTGAGTGAAACTGACATAAATTCCTGCCCACATAGAGCTTACCTTCTTATGCTGGAGACAGACTACAAAATATAAGTAAATCATAGAGTGTGAAAATGAGAGACCATGGAGAAAACCACAGCAGGGGGAGGAAGTTCAAGTTTGGAGGAGCTCCAGCATGGAGGCTGAGGTGGGAGAAGGTCTCCCTGAGAGTCAAGCCATGTTCCTGAAGTGGCAGGGCGAGGAGTGATCCTGATGGGTACTTGAGGGAAAACTGTTCTTGCCAAAAGACACGGCAAAGGCATGAGGTAGGGCACCGTTGGCATGTTTTAAGGAATACGGGGAAACTCAGAAGGCTGGAGCCGTCGGCGCAGGGGGCTGTGGTAGGAGATGAAGTCAGAGAGTTGGAGCCCCCTTGGAAATGGGGAGCCATGGGAAGGTTTTGAGCAGAGGAGTGACATGATCTGACTTAATGTGTGGTTTTTTTTTTTTTTTTTTTTTTTTTTTTTTTTTTTTTTTTTTTTTTTTTTTTTTTTTTTTTTTT